GCCATCAGGGCCAGGCTGCCCGGCTCGGGGACGGCGCCGACGCCAGCGAGCAGGGCGGTGTCCGGGGTGGTCTCGTAGGCGTAGTCCACCAGGGTGCCCGGGCCGTTGGCGGGCAGCAGCACGCGAAACCAGCCGTAGTGCACGGTGTCGTCGTCGCTGTCGAACATCAAGGCACCTTCGTTGCGAAACCGGAAGCCGACCAGCAGCGAGGTCTGACCGGCCGGCACATCGGCGATGGGCAACACGGTGAAGCTGCGGCCCGGGCCGATCAGCTCGCCCTCCGCGAGGTTCAAGGAACCGGCGGCGTCGACGACAAAGCCCCGGGCACTGGCCGGCACGATCTTCGGCTGCCCGGTTTGGTTCGATGTCAGGAGCGACCAGCCCGGGTCCCGGTACACGTTGAAGTCGAAGGCATAGGCCGGATCGAAGGTCGCCGGGTAGCTGTGCGGGCCGGCGTAGAGCTCGCCCTTCACGACATTGACGTAGAGCCCGATCGTGTCGGGCGGGATGGCGGCATTGAGCACGCCGCTGTAGTGCACGTCGGCGTGTGCGCCCGGGCTGGCGGCGACCAGCGCGGTGGCGGCCGCCCAGGCGGCCAGCAGGCGCGGCCAACGGGTGCAGGCGCGGGGGGATGAATCTGAATGCATGGCGTCCTCCGAGGGTGCCGGCCTCGCCCCCATGGCGGGCCGTTGCTGGGACCAACGCGGCCCGGCCGCCAGGACGGACATGCCCCCCCGCGTTCCGGGAGGGCCGACCGTGCCGCACACGCCTTCAGCCGGCCCTAAGCTGAACGCCGCAGCATGAAGCCCTCAGCTTTCGGAGTGCTTCATGACATCCACATCCACCGGCCTGCACACCGCCGCGGCGGACACACCGCATGACGCCACGGTCACCCAACCCCTGTGGGACGCCCCCGTTCGCCTGCTGCACGGCCTGATGGCCCTGAGCCTGGCCGGCGCCTGGCTCACCGCCGAGGCGGACGGCTGGCGGGCGGTGCACATCAGCTTCGGCTTCACGCTCGCCGGCGCCATGCTGCTGCGGCTGGTGTGGGGCTTCATCGGCACGGGGCCGGCGCGCTTGCGGAATTTCGTGCG